AAACATATATTCTAACATATACAAAATATAATTATGTATATTTATTGTAATGATTTTATAAGTACACTAATGCACTGGGTAATCTACATATATGCTTGTTTGTATTTATGTATCTAGATAAGTTGACGGATTAATATTTATAAACATATATACCGACATATACAAAATTTAATTATGTATATTTATAATAATAATGATTTTATAAGCACACTGATGCACTGAGTAATCTACATATTTGCTTGTTTGTGTTTATGTATCAATATAAGTTGACAGATTAATATTTATAAACATATATATTGACATATACAAAACTTATTCATGTATATTTATCCATATAATGACTCAATTGTTTTTTTTAGGACAATGGATTTTATAAGTACATTAATGCACTGAATAGTTGCTCTCCTGGCTACACTACCTATTTTCATTATAAAAAGGAAGGGCCTAACACTTTGTATCATTGTCTTTATCAAATTGGTTCTGTTTTTTACTTTCCTACCGTCACAGACATTAAAACATCTTGAAAAGCCAGAAAATCAATTACATTACTTGATTTTCTCTTTTTGTTTTTTTTTTTGCTTTTTATCGTTTTCTGTTTTTTTTTTGTTTTTTTTAATTATTTTATTATTTATTTCTTGTCTTCCTTATTTATTTATTTTCCGATATTACAACTTTCTTTATTGCGAGTTTTAATGGCTGAGGTGATTGTTTTTTTTTTCAACTCTTTTTGTTTTCTGTCTAAAAATGATTTAGACTCAACTGATATGCATGTCTAGACACCTGTAGAAGGAAAGATTTAATATATCGACCAACCAAAGTATTTTTCAGCACAGCTTGAAAGAATAGATTGTTTTCTTCCCTACAACAAAACATTGTCCATAGACTTTTTTTCTTTCAGAACAACCAAGTCCCTTCAATAATAAAGTTCCCTTCTCTATCTAATATGTTTCCCTTCAGAAAAACGTTCACCTATATAGTAAGCAATTTCATATATATATATATATATACATATGTGTGTGTGTATGATGGATATTTTATTACAAGCTACTAAATTAAAATCTCAAAATTTATTAAATGCTATTGAGAAGGTAGACTTCAGCTATATTACGTATTGTCTGAAAATCATTCCTGTCACCCCATAAATAAATATATATCTATATACATATTATGAGTAATTGACAGATACGTATTTTTTCTAATCTGCTGGCATGAAAGAAATGGAAAACTATTTCCAAAATGGAATTATTCATTCTTTTCATTTTAAAGACCATTCTTCAATTCTGAAAAGGATAAAATTTCCTAAGAATTTTATGCTGTTTTCAGGAATGAATATATCAGTTACCATTTCTGTACAGACTCCAAAAGAACATCTGATACTAATTGGATTGAACTGACTTTAAAAAATTCCTGCTCTTATCATAATCTTGGAAAACTTTTGAAATGCTTGACTACAGGATTGATTTGTAGCTAAGTCACAATAAACTGGAGTGCCTTTAGTTAGCATATAAGGAAGCATTTTTAATTGGTTTAACAAATTTGTCTGTATTTAATTCAATAGAAGTGATATTTGTGGGTTATCCCACTTGACTGTCCTAAAAAATACTGTCACTAGGGGGCGCCCCTTAAGCCTATAAATAGGCAATGATATTCTCACTCATTTTCTTTTACAGCTCTGACTATAAGATGTAGTCACATGTGAAAAAAGTCTCTCTCAGTGGGGTAGGTTCATATTCAATGTTTTACTTTTCTATCATGACTTTTTGTACTCTTTTACAGGTAGGCCTACACAAATTACACACCCACGAAAACATTCTCTAATTTGAACACTTTACAAAACTAGTCTTTGATTTTTTTCTTCATTTCTTGTAATTGTAATACTTTTGTTAACATATTCATTGTCATTTGTTTTATATTGTTTTTGTTATTCAATTATTACTTGGAATTACATTCATGTCAGCTATAATTGTTATGGAAAAAGTAATACTGGGAGATATGAATTTTCTACATGAATACAGCAAGCATTCCCACAACATATTACAAACATCCACAGTTTTCAAAGAATACCAAATATTTACCTACAGAAAAGAATATCTTTCAGCTCAAGAACAGAGGCAAATTTCTAAAGATAAAATAATAATAATGCTATCTTTCTTCACTAAATCCTCATATTTAGCACCCAGTATCCTTATATATATATATATATATATATATATATATATATATATATATATATATATATATTAAAATAATTTAGAATATAACCATTCCTACCTGCCCAATAATCATTAGGATAACTGAAATACCTGACTTTGTTACCCATAATGTCCCATTGACCATAATATATAAATAGTTAAGCTACCAACCAACACACATAGCCTGAAGATTGTGTTCATGCATGAAACAGACTGTCACCACTCAGTATTGACCTCAGTATCCTCTCTTTATATATATATATATATATATATATATATACTTGCTCTCTTCCTGTTACTGAGCACTTTGACCTATAAATATAGCATAACTTAAAATTACATTTTTGTCATATTATATATATATATATATATAAATAATATGATAAAATATAATTTTAAGATTATATATATATATATATATATATATATATATATATATATATATATATATATACACACACACATATATGTGAAAATTTTAGATAGAGTATATCACTAAAAGCTGTTGTAATGTTGTCTTTGTTCAAAATAGCCAAAAATTAGGAAGTCTGTAGTTAGAGAGAGTATCAAAGTAACAAAAGATTAGCTAGAGAAAACAAAGAACAAGAGGTTTATTAAATACTCATACATAGTACAGAAAGACTTGAGTAAATCAAATACTACTCAAATCCTTCTCTATTGTGGCTACTTGTTATATTGATAAGTAGGAACAGTCTATTGTCACAGTAGTAGGGAAGAGTAGGATATACTCTGACTCCTACACTACCACAAATGGACAATACAGATAAAGACAAAAGGAAAACTTATCCTAGCCAACATGTTTTGTCCTCTTAGGGACTCTGTCCAAGCAACTGCAAGGATTTTATTTTCTAACAAGCATTTATATACAAGGGCAAAAATATTATTGGCTTTCCAAAGTTTTTAAGTTTAGAAGCACTCATAATTATTCATCAGGTTAATGGAAAAGTCAGGCTTGCTATGGAGGACACAACATGATACAAAGTATATACCTTGTTTTCACCATGAGACATTTCCTTGTTGGCTGCTGGGTTGTGCTGCCCAAATACATGATTACATGACCCAGCAACCAACAAGGAACGTAAGACTACAAAATTAAGAAAAGAACTTGTTTTACAACAAATATGTCTCATGTTAAAAACAGTGTATTTAAACCCTAGTACTTTTCAGTCATTTTTTGCTTCAACACAATAAGATCATGGTGAAGTATGAAACAGACACTCTCTGCTTGGTGTTGACCTCAGTGTTCACTTTTACTTTTATATATATATATATATATATATATATATATATATATATGCTCTATCTTTAATATTGCATACGTTTACCCCTAAATATACCATACCTTAAAACTAAATTTTTCCCATACATACACATATATATATATATATATATATATATATATATATATATATATATGTGTGTGTGTGTGTGTGTGAAAGAATTTCTGTTGGTTTAATGTATTAAAAGATTTCCTTTTCTTTTTGAATTATGCTTGACAACAAGTTAATAATGAACTGACTGGTAGATATAAATAATAAAATTGCATTTATTTCATGTGACAGATTTATGTAATATTTACATTGCAAACAGACAACCAAGTTTATATTCAATTAATTTTCAGGCTTTAAGCAGATTTAAGATTTATATACTAGGTTAACCAGAAAGTTCTGATTTACTTTAGGTAGTAGAAAGGAAAGAACAAATCTTGATCTCTCTCTGGTAGAATTTACAGTGACTATAGCATTTTGAGCTTGTTCCACACAGTCACAGGCATCAACACTAAACTCTACTGCAGCAGCTAGACCACATGTACAACAAACTAAAGAAGGCATAGCCTGCTTTGGTCAATCAAGGTCAGGCTTGGCCAGAAATTCCTGATTTACTTTAGGTAGTAGAAAGGAAAGAAAAAATCTTGATCTCTGTCTGGTGGAATTTCCAAGGAGTACCACATTTTGAGTTGTTTCACTAATGCTAAACTGTATTGTCAGAAGTTAGACCATGTGTATGACAAACTAAAGAAGTAGTATCCTGCTTTGGTCAATTGGAGTTTGGCTTTGTTACAGCAAGACAATGTGAGTCCACACACTGCCAGGTTGACTAAGGAAAAGTTCAAACAGATTAGACAGTGTTGAAATTCTTCATATCCACCATTCAGTCCTGATGCTGTTCCAAGTGACTATGGCCTATTCCGCTCAGTGACACACTTCATCCACGATCAGAAATTCAACACTTTTGATGAAGTGAAGGAAGCTTGTTTACAGTTTCTTGACAGATTTGGATATTGGTTCATCGCTGGCAGAATATCGTTGAGAATGGTGGACTTTATTTTGTAGAATAAATGTTGATGTTGCTCCATAAAATTTTGTTTTCTTTCCGTTTCCTAAGTGAGTCTGGATTTTCTGGCCAACCTAATATAAAGTGATTTTCTATGCTTGTCTACAGTTTTTTTATTATTCAAAGCCAGCGGACTGGGTATCTGAGACAGAGTCGGATGCTGGCTGATCACTGGCAGAATATCATGGAGAATGATGGACTTTATTTTGAAGAATAAATGTTGATGTTGCTCCATAAAATTCTGTTGTTTTCTTTCCGCTTCCTAAGTGAGTCAGAACTTTCTGGCCAATCTAATATTAATGAGGTGATATTTTAATTTTTATTTAACATGTTTATCCAACCAGGAAATGGTAAGTGGTTCCTAAAATTAATGCACTAAAGAAAAAGTTCCAAAAGGTGAAAGCCAAAATTCAAATGTTTTGGGGGTCAAAGGATAAGAAATGTCATCCTTACCTTAGATAGATCTAGAGATTCTCGGTCATCTACCATCTTGTTCCGGGATATCATATAGACTCCTCGTGAGTGGAGATGTTCCTTGAGCAAACGATGATATTCTGTAAATTCCTTACCTACTTCTGCTATGGCGCCAACTTGGAGCCAGTTCATTGCCAGAAATAATTTCTCATACACATACCTAGGGAAATAAAAACAAAAACAAAAGTAAAGTGATGGAAAAAAGAGAAGTCATCAAAATGTTACATCAATTGAAATTTTAAGAAAATACAAGGAAAATAATTTTTTTAAATTTTAATTTCCTTCAAGATAAAAGATATATAGTAGATGAATTCTGTATAAAAATCTGTTTTAATATTTCATATATTGTTTTATAGTAATTTTTTAATGGATTTTATATCTGACATTATTTTCTTAATACTGTAAATGTTATTTTTGGTATGTACACTTATTTCAGTTGCTATCTTCTTACACAGTGGCATTAATAACAACAGGCCTAGATTGAGAAGTCCTACTAAAAAAAGGTTATGCTTCTAACAGGAATTGAACCTGTATCCTCTTTTCCATCAGGGAGACTCTTTCTACAGCTAAAACATTACCAATTTGGCTACATCCTCAGTCTAGGCCAGTTGTTATTAATTTCACTATTTAAGAAAATACAAATGGAAAAATAATGTTGGATAAAAAATCTATTAAAAATTACTGTTGTTTTAGAAAGATTATTGCGCAAATACACATTAAATTACATGACATGACATAAATTTTTAATTTGAACAACTCCAGTACCTTTTTATGATCATTATTGCAACATCTGCACAAAAACTGATGGTGTGGTAATGGCTTTGCCTCTTGGACCTATTTCCTCAAATTTTTATATGACACATATAAAAAACAAAGTCTTTAATAATTTCTTCATGTACTCTATATATATATTGATTTTCTGAGCGTAGCTTAGATGTGGCACAAGGCTAAAAATATGGGACACACAGTTGGGATCAAATTCACTATACAGTAGTAACTGTTTTAGCAAGACAAGCTTGCTAACCATTACACCATGCCGAGGTGCCGCATGCAATTTATATATATTTGTTATATAAATGACATTGTCATACAAGCAAAACCATGCAAAATAAGAAACTTGAGAGAAACCTTAGAGACTAATTCCATCTTATACTTTACTTATGGACTCAATAAACCCTTTCCTTAGCATTTTAGTTGATGCTAAGTCATAATTTTACTACTTCACCATATAAAAATCCACAAGCAGATTTCAAATCTCAACTACAAAAGTGAATGTCATTACTTATACAAAGTAGATATAAAAAAAACATGATTTATTTTGCTAAAAATTTATCAGCTATAACTTCCTGAACCATGTTATCAACAAACAAATAAAATCAGCCTTAACAAAATTTAGAAAATATAACAAAAGCAATCATGCTGATATACAAAAAAGAAACACATCTTTCACTTAATCTATCATAATCAAATACAAACTAATTATAAACAGGATGATAAAGCCATTAAAAAATAATTTGTCAGTACATATCATTTAACAATAAAACAAACACTTTAGATTTGTGACAAAAAGTTCAAAACATCTAACCTAATTATTGCCAATAATACTGAAGGACTCAAAAATCCTCCCTATGTAAAAATAATGTTGCCTATGAATTTTGATGAACCCCTAGGAGATTACATCACCAATACGAAGAATCAAAAAACAACACTAGATTCTTACATTGGGTACACATGCAACACACACTCTGATAGGTTGACTTGTCACCTATCAAAATACAGTGCAATTTGGGCACATATCAATCAGCATATCATGAACAAACAAAATACAATTATTAACATATAACAAATATACATGAATACTCAAATACTATACAGAACCCAATGCAACAAAAAACTCAAAATCCTAGAATCCATTCTCATACAAAATAAACAACCTATCTTAAATAAAATATCTTTCACCACAGGAGACAATATCTGACTGTGTTTGGAAATTAAGATATAAAATTAAAAACATATATATTATGAAGATCATAAACCATAACCCTCTACCTTGTGTGATCTTGTGCAGAGTGAATATCATTGTAAAGAGAGAGAGGGACAGACAGACAGTCAGACATATATATATATTTCCAAAGCTTACATTAGATTTGTAATGATATCACAAAGTAAGAAGTAAGTTGTAGTAATGAATATAGTCCCTCGGTCTATCAGAAAACATTGTTTTTTCTTTTCCAATATGGGAACTATAAATTGAAGTTACCAAAATCCAGCAACTGCAAAATTTTAAATATCTAGGAAATGTTTATTAGAAGCCCGAAAAGGTGACATCAAAATCTGACAACGTACAGGAATAATGAAAGATTCCTTTGCAAAGCAAAGTATTAAGAAGAAAAGGACATTTCATTGGAGACAAGAAAAGAAAATAGTGAACTTTTATGCAATCGTGTTCTTCAGTGAAATCAGGACAATCTCCTCACAAATGAACAAGAGACTTGAGACACCTGAAATGTGGTTCTACAGAAGGATGCTGAGAATACCATAGACTGAACATGTGTGAGACGACATTTCAGATAAATATTCGATAATTGAAAAAAATAAAAAGAAGCATATAATCCCTAGAACCGAACATGTGAGATGCTATATGTTGTTTCATTTTATCAGCAAACAGTAACTTTACTTCTTAGAGGACACACTTGCACTTTTTATGAGCAGAAGCAAAGAGATATCTGCTGCAATTAGACGTGTTGCTCTGGTACAGCCAGAAAAAACTGATTCCTATGGGTTATAGCAGCTACACTTGTAGGTGAGAACCCAAGAGATGAATGCATTTTAAATTGGTATTTCCATGCTGGAATGAAAGCATCAATGCCGTCTTTCACCCAGGAGGAGACCTCAGACATGCATTTATGAACAGGATGATTAAAAACTACATTCCAAAGAACATTGTGAAGGAAGTCACAGAACGAGTCCCAATCCACATGGCGATAACAGAAAGAGATTCTGTCGGTAGGAGGGTCTTGACCTGGTAGGGGAGCAGAAAGAGATGTTTACAGACACTACCATATGATCAAAGTTGCAAAGAGGGCAGAGCTGCAAAGTATGACATGAGTCCAGCATAGAGGTGAAAAAGAGATTGAGAAGAGAAGGATGTTCATCAGTGTTACTGGGGAAACTCATGGAGATGTCTACCACTTGCATGAGAGATTGAGTGAGTGAGAAATTAAGGTTTTCGATTCCAGAGAAGTTAGGGACAGAGCGTTTAAGTCACTTGGCATGGTGGGCATTAAAGTCACTGAACATAAATATATTTGCAGATGGGTGGAGAGAGATGGCCTTGTCTATATTATCAGAAATACTATCTAGCACACAACAGTCATGAGAGGAAGGAGAAGAGTAGAGAAAGAAGACATAACTGACTGAGTTAAGTAGAGAGTGACAGAGACACATGTAAGAGTGTTGTGGAGATTCAAGAGAAAGTTCCCTAGCCAGCAGGATATGTTCATGGACATAAAATCCCAGGCCATGCATGTGGACATTAGAGTCCTTCCCAAGGAGAGGAAGATAGCCAGAAACCAAGAAATTAAAGGAGGGGATTGAAGAGTTAGGATTAGTTTCACAGAGGGCTAGGATGTCTGGAGACTTTTTGAAGAGGAACGATTCCACATTGCAGAAGTTGGTACAAATACCACGTATGTTGGAGAAAGAAAAGTTGAGGGGTTTAGGTGATTTTTGTTGAGCTGGTTTAGATTTATATCTTTGGTATCTTGTTTTGGTAACGAAAGGCCTAGGATAATAGTAATAACAGTCAGTCATCTAATGTAACATGTGCAGGAAAGGAAATAGTGCAGACTACAATATAAGTGTGGCCTCGTGGTTGTCCATTGAAGGTGCTTGCAGGAACACCCTTCAATGCATGACATGGCACTGCAAGAACCCTGATATCTGTTAATCAGAGCAGCTTCTCAAAATGCTACTCAAGAGTTCAGGCTCTTAACCACAAAACTACCAACCCGGTACCCTCAGTATGAAGAGATGTTGCCACCATCATCACATATCACAAAAAATTCATGACAACACTACTATTAAAGTCTGAGAAAAAGGAAAGAAACAAGGATCCCTTTCCTAAACAGGAAACAAGGTATGAACCTCTACTCCTGTTCAAGAGAAGTTGGAGGAGTATGAACTGGGCAATAGGAAAGCCTATCTACTCTTATTACAAAGAAATAAAAACAAAACAATCCTGGTTCTGATTTCCAGTTATGTTATCTCAAGGAATGAACATTCAGAAAACTAATTTGGAGAGTCAATCAGCGGCCATAGAACTTTTGACCGAGCTATGTTTAGCTGATTTTCTAGCATATTAGGAGGGAGAGGAGGTTATAGGAATGGGATAACAAAATTGGTAAACCACGCAATATTCCTTGTAAGATAACTAGTCAGTGTTGTAGTATAGTAGTGAGGTTGATACTATATAGACAGAGTCGACTGACATCATTTCAATAGTGCTTTGATACAATTACAGCGACTTTGAAGTGGATTTTTCTGATTTCCACGGCCAATAGCAAATGAATATCTCTCACTTGAGACAGGAGGTGATGGCCGGAAGGGGTGTGAGGGACTGCTTGACTTAATCAACCTACATGTATTGCTTCTTTTATCAAAGCAATTCAAATTCTTCCCAGATACCAAGAACAACCAGTCAACCACAAATGAGTGGCACTTGAGTTGATAATCACAATTGAATGAAGTGAATAAAAGTGCAAGTTTGAGTTTTTTAAGTTTAACTTTGTATAAGTCCAAGTATCCAACATCAAACTAAGTTTCCGCATTCAGTTACCCACTCGAGATGGACACCCATTAAAATGTAATATCGAGAATTAACACTAAAAAATGTACTATCACCTTATGCAGGCATATCTACATACACACAGGCATATCTATCTATCTATCTATCTATCTATATATATATATATATTGTGTGTATTTAGGCAGCATCTTTTCATTCATACACGTTTCATTAAATAATATAGACAAGTGTTGTCTATTTATTTTATGTAAATTTACATAAAATAAATAGACAACACTTGTCTATATTATTTAATGAAACGTGTATGAATCTATATACATATATACATATATAGATAGATAGATAGATACGTGTATAGATGTGTGTATCTATCTCTCTCTCTATCTATCTATCTATCTATATATATATATATATATATAGTGATTTTCTAAGTGTTGCTTAGATGTGGCACAAGGCCGGAAGTATGGAGCACCCAGTGAGGATCGAACTCACTACTCAGTCATAATTGTTCTAGCGAGACAAGCTTGCTAGCCATTACACCACCTCGAGGTGCCCACATATATATATATATAGATAGATAGATAGATAGATAGATAGATAGATAGATAGATAGATAGATAGATAGATAGATAGATACACACAAGCTGTATTAAGATAATATTAAAAGTTAAAACAATGAAGACAGAGAAGAAAAAATAAAATAAAATAAAATTTGAGAATAGGATGGCATAGAAAAAGGATAAAAACAAACAAAAACAAAGCAGACAACAAAGAATATGTTAAATACAAGAAAATTACAAAAAATAAAAGTATTCATTTCAATGATACTGATGACTGACAAAAGGTGTTTTGAATGAATACCAGATCAAGAAAGGCTTGGTAATGTCAACATTGGAAACAGGTGGAGAGTATATTAACTGAGGCAGAATGGTGTTGGAAATTGCCAAATTCGGACATTCTGTTTTGCTTTTCCCCCATTTTTTTAACCAGTTTATATTTCTGCAATTTTAAATATTTATGCAAATTATCGAGTTAGTTTGGAAAACTGTCAAGCCAAAATAACCCGATTCTTCCTGATGTTATGTCCCTTATGTTTCAATTTTCTCAAAGATTTTGTCAGACTTATTCATCCTATACATTGAGATGATTCCAAGAAAATTAGAAGTCCTACCAGGATTCATTATAGAGAGCCAGAATCTTAACATAAGATATGCAGATGACACAGTGTTAATGGTAGACACAGAAAGGAAACTACAAGAAATTGTACAGAAGGTAGTGAAAGAAAGTGAGAAGAAAGAACTAAACATCAATTACAAGAAATTAATTAAAAACATTTTTTTTAAATACAAGTCACAAGTTTAACCCAAAACAGTCACCCTATGGCATACTATGTTGGAGATATAACCAATGAACTCTTCTTTGAGATATTTGGAACATTATGATATTTTCACATGACAAAATTATGCAAACTAGTCTTTTACAGAGAAGGCTGAATTGAAATTCTTTCGAGTTCATTGCTACATTTTTACTCTGACCTATTGACAATTTCTCAACTGATTTTTGCAATTTTTATTCTATTTTAATTATCAAATACTTCTTCAGATTTTTTGAGCTTCAATATGAAAACAAAGGAAGAAAAAATATTGGCGCAAAGACTGCAGCACAAATATTTTCGACTTCCTTTATATGGAAATTTTGATTAAATATTTTTGCTTTCCTTTCATTTTTTATACAGAAATGGACAAATATTGAAAAAAAATGAATCTATAATGCTGCTAGTGTATGCATATATATATATATATATATATATATGCATATACTAATAATAAATATATATTTTTCATACCATTTTTTCCTAAACAGTGAGGAAAAAATATATTTATTATTAGTATAAATTTTAGCTTTGTTATTTTACATCAAGCACTGTTTCAATATTATTATTATCAACACTTACAATGCTGTACTTTACTTATATATATATATATATATATATATATATATATATGTGTGTGTGTGTGTGTGTGTGTGTGTGTGTGTGTGTGTGTGTGTGTGTTCATTTGAATATATTCCTATCATGCAAATAGATATATATGATACATGATGTAGTTGATATTTTGTAATTAACAGAATTTGATCTGAAATTTTACTGTATAATGTTTAATCTCTATGTTTAATATTCCCTATTGAATAAAGTACATTGGCAAAGCAGGTGATGGTACAAAAATTATAAATGTTGATTGAAAAAATGCTCTATCAATGGGCTATAGACTTATTAATGTAACTAATATATATATATATATATATATATATATATATATATATATATATGTAGCTTCTTTTTGATGAATTCCTTTTTTAGCAATTTCTCTATTTTTCTCATAAGTAAATGGACTGCTCCACCCTCTTGCCAGTAAGCTATAACAATTGACATATCACAATGATCCATTGTATTTCATTTGTGCGTTATGCTTGCTTTGTGTATGATGAAGAATAAATGTATATGTATTTATTTTTATGCTGTATGGAGAAAATAAAATTTGAAAAACACCTAATATTTATATGTATTTATATGTACTATTTAAATTACATGTATTTTTACAGAGAAATATTAAAATTAAAATCGTTTTAATTACATGAAGGTTTTCAGAAAAAATGTTTTACTTTAACTAATTTTGCTTTAGCTTTTTGAAAAGTTTGTAAATGTTTATATTCCCATGTGTTGACACTTATGATTTGAACAGATAAAAAAGATCAAGGGGCATAACTGTTTTTATATGTCACTTATGGAGGGCACCTCAGCATGGTGTAATGGTTAGCAAGCTTGTCTCGCTAGATCAGTTACAACTGAAAAGTGAGTTTGATCCTCACTAGATGCCCCATACTTTTGGCCTTGTGCCACATCTAAGCTATGCTTGGAAAATAACTATATGTCACTTATGGTAAAGAAAATATGATGGAATTTATTTTGAGGGATGTAACTCTGGTTTATACAATGAACTGAGTATTGGTTTAAACTTGCTGATAAAAAATGTTTCTTCATTAATACACTTTTGTTCTGTGGTTTTGGATTCACATTGATAGAATGGGAAGATATTAAAATTTGGCAGATTTTGTCCTCTGCATTTCTCTATATGTTGGCTAGGGGGTATTTTTCTGGTGTGGAGATCCCTAATTTGTTGGCGATGAAATGACATCCTTTGTCAGAGTGTCTGGCTGGTTTGACCAATGTAATGTTTGTGGCGACCTTTGCATGTAATCATGTATATTAAATTCTCTGAGTTGCATGAGAAATCATTTTTAATTTGGATCCATCTTTGAAGTAAAATTTGTGGCCTCCCAGTAGGGAGTGGCATATTCCAAAGAAGAGTCACTTGCATATTTTCACCAAAGGATCTTTAATTGTGGTTTTCAGTTTTGCATTTGTCAGTATCTTTTTTAGAGATTTTGGTTGTCATTCTGTAATTACAATTGTGGGGTCTGTTTTCTCTGAAGTTGTAGTTTCTATTTTTTCTGTATTTTCTTTGTGTTTGCTTCTTCTGTGGGTAGTATATATATATATATATATATATATATATCAGGTCATCCCATAAGTTCTGTCAATTTTGAATAAAAGAAAACAAGTGACCAAATGTTACATTTAATTACAGATTCAATCAACAATGTATTTTCCCTGATTATCTATGACTTCCTTCCATCTATTAACAAGCTTACTAATTCCATTACTGTAAAATTCTTTTGGCTTTGATTTGAAGAACTCACAAATGTCAGTTTTAACCTCTTCCTGTGTTACAAAAGCTGTTTCTTCAAAATTATTCTGTAAGCTACGAAACAAATGGTAGTCTGAAGGAGCAAGATCGGGAGAATAAGGTGGATGAAGAATTTTCTCCCAGCCAAGTTCTTCGATCTTTTGTGACGTGATTCTTGCTGCGTGTAGTCACGCATTGTCCTGATGAAACATCACCCCTTTTCGATTCACTAGAGAAGGTCTTTTTTTACTCAAAGCTTGGTTCAAATGCTCTAATTGCTGACAGTATATTTGAGCATTAATTGTTGCATTAAGTGGTAAGAATTCAAAGTGGATTATTCCTTGGCGATCCCACCAGATTGAAAGAAGAACCTTTTGCCCCTTGTGAAGTTCCCTTCTCGGCTGTGGCTGGGGTCCTTCTCCTTTATCAAGCCACTGTCTATGACGCTTAACATTTTAATAAAAGATCCATTTTCGTCGCCAGTCACAAGTCTATCCAAAAAAGGTGAAACAAGTTGGCGAGAATGGAGAGAAGAGCAGATGTCAACTCAGGATTTGAGGTTGTTTTCAGACAATTCATGAGGCACCCATTTTCCAAGTTTAGGAACTTTTCCAAGTTGTTGAAGATGATGATGAACAGTTGTATGGTTTGAACTGAGAACCACTGCCAATTCCTCAACTGATAAAGAAGGATTTTCTTCAAGGGCTGCTTCAAGAAGATTTTCATCAAACTCAACTGGACGTCCGGTTCGATCTTCATCTTCAAGGATGAACTCTCCACCTCTGAATTTTGCAAACCATCTTCTGCAAGTTCTTTCATTCACACATTCCTCTCCATAAACTGAGTGAATGTTTCTAGCCGCTTTGGCTGCTGAGTTTCCTTTCTTGAACTCATAAAGCATTATGGGCCTCAAATGATTCTTCGTTACTTCCATGTTAGCAGGGTTTTAATCAAACAAAATTTAATTTTATTGTTCTCTGAAATAAAATTTGATCAGTTTAAATGCATCTAAACATAAAAAATAATGTTCAGCTCCATTAGACATTATAAAATACTCTTTAAATTTCGTTCATTTTAACAAAAAGTTAAAATTCAGACAGAAATTATAGGATGACCTGATATATATATATATATATATATATAAAATAAAAATTATTTAAAATGGACAAAGTGCTTCAACTTACCATGAGTTTCATGGTCTTTCAATTGTCAAATAGTGAAGATTGGATCACTTTTCCCTTTAAAATGCAATGATATTGTTATATGAAAGCTCTGTTTTTTATATTAAGCACTTGATTCTTTTTTCAATCTTATGTTTTATCACTTATTTTATACTTATGAGTATGTGTGTTTATATATATATATATATATATATATATATAGAGAGAGAGAGAGGGAGAAAGAGATAGATAGATGCTATACCATTTCATTTCCTGTGTTAAATTGGAAGCTGCTATGTTAATGCTCTTGTGTGTGTGTGTGTGTTTGCATGTGTATATACACTATACATGTAAGTGTATGTATATGCATATATATATATATAGGTGTGTCGGTGTGTGTCTATATATATATATATATATGTACATATGCATATATATATATGTGTGTTGGTCTATATATATATATATATATGTATATGTATATAAGATAAAATAAAAACGCATCTCAATCTAACATGTTTCACTTTTATTAAAGCTTCATCAGAGATTGAGATAGAAATGAAAAAAATGTAAGAGACAGAGTACTGGTAAGTTAGAATTTTTGGTTAGTTCTTATTAGTCAGGTATGTGTCATGTGTATTGTTAGGGGACCTTACCCATAATAACATAATGGACTATTCCATACATAATAAATACTGCGCCTCAAGAGCAAGCAGAGAGTTCAGCCTGAAGTTGGGCGACTAGCTGACCGGCTGATCAGTTGAACTCTCTGTCTTCGGGCGGGGAGGAACGAGGCTACACCAAAGGGCAGAGTCTCTTTCGCGGAGGTAAACCGACCCTGAACCCGTCTAAATGGTTCAGAGGGCATATTTTTGGCCGAGCCCACGGACTCGGAGATCCTACATTAAACCGGCCTTGTGCCACATGATGCCCTCGTGGCGGGGGGTGACTAAATACAGTTCAGTCTGAAGTCTAGAGTTCAGTCTGAAGTCTGGGGTGAGGTCCGTCAGAAATCTGTCAGTCAGTCGAGTCAGAGGCAGTCTGAAACAGGGTCGGGTTCAGACAATTACTACTAAACCTGATTGTTTGTACTAACACTTTCTACTTCTCTGTATATATTCCTGTTTGTAATATATCTGTGTTATTCCCTATCTGTATTCGAGTTCTTCTTTATTGGTTCTACCTTGGACTATCACCGTGGTACAAGGAACCAGACCATAACATGTATAAATGCAATAGATAATATATAAATATGTGTGAGGAAATTTTTGTAAATTAAAATGTGTGATAGTGTAAGTATTTGTATGTAAATATATATGTGTGTGTATGCATATATATATATATATATATATATATATATATATATATATATATATATATATATATATATATATGCAATATATTTTCATTCAAGCACTTTTGGTTGAATAATCTAGACATATTATGTCAATTTATTTTATCTTAATCTTCTCAAATTCATAGATCAATTTCTTAGTGCTGTTACAAAACTAATTAAGAAAGATGCTGTAGTTTGGGCTATTTCTTTTATTTTCCCAAAGTACTTTTAATCTCATCCAAGATCATCTACAGGGGTAAATTGCTAAGACAAAAATTAGTGTAATTGGTAGTTATAGATTTTTTTTGTAAATGCGCATGCATGCACTCCATTATAGTCAATTTATGTTAAAGATATGTAAAGGAGGTAAATTAGTTTATCATTTTTTTAATATTAATACTTTAAAAATACTCAGCCTACAATTTTTTTAATCAGCCTGGACTTTGTTGATATTGTCACGTCTACACATGAGCACAAAATGGGACATGCTGGTAATATCAAAATTTTTGAAAGAATTTTTTTTTCAATCTAACCAAATTCATCTATATTCTTTTTCTCTCTGCTATTTTTGTCCCTGACTATCCCACATTGTGACAACAGAAAATTTACCAAAAATGGTGAAATATTGTAAAAGCCTGGACACAAATTTATCATGGCTGAACTATATAAATATTTGTGTCTGTGTGTATGAGAAATGTGTTTCATTGTGTGAAAGTTTTTCAAATTAAATTAGTTTTTCAATACTGTCTTTTAATTCTAAATCGTCTTGGTTTAGCAAACCAGTTATCTGATTGTTTAATTAAACCATATCATCTGTGATAAAGTTTCTGTTAAAATAAGATTCTGTACATTCATGTGTGACATTAATTATTCTTATCTTTGCCACAAAGCTAAAGATTTCAGGGTTTTATTCATTGCAGTTTTTAAATATTTTAAATTTAGCAAACTGTCTAAAATTAATTTTCCTTCTTCCATTTAATCTTGAATTATTTCTTTCAAGTTAACACTTTCCTTATTCTATAAAAGTTATGAATAAGTCTTACTTTTAGATCTTTAGCAATGGATTTTATTATTATAGGATTTTGTATTATATAAATCCACACAGACAGCTACTAATTTGACCTGTTGTTAATCTAAGCTACTGAATACATAATCACATTACCTAACTGAATTTAAAAGAAAGTGAAGTAAAAGAAACACGGTCACTCATCTTAGTTTCTTTCTCACCCTGGCTGTCCTTAGAAACACTGTTAAGAACACCTTTCTTCCGAGTGCCAATGTCAATCTTGTTCACTCTTTTATTCTCTTGCAAAGTACTTAATCTGGGTGTTTGGATTAAATTTGTATATGCATATGCAAATCGTGTCACTTGCCCCACATCCTGGCTTGTCTATTGTGCATCCATTCTAAGATAAATCAACCTCAACTGGTTAATGCAAAGCTCTGGTTCAAATCACACTGAAATCAATTCTACTCATGGCTACAAACAATACATGTTGCCATAGGAATTCTTTTCACAATGGGCAAACTACACCTTCTCTTGGTAACTCCTTTGTTACACTTACAGCTACATTCAGTTTTGAAATTGTGAGAAATAATCTTAATACATGCAGTAATATAAACTATTATTATAGAGGAGTTGGATAGTCACTCAAACAATGCAGATGTGAGTATAAGTCCTATGTTTCAGATGAGGGTGCAATGCTGCACTTTCATACATTGGCCAAGAGTAAGTGACAAATTTGAATTAAATAGAATGTTATTCAATAATCTTCATGTCTTATCATTTCAGTAAAGAGGGCTTGGAGAATTTAACACTCACAAGAAGGGAAAGCACCGAATAACCTACCTAACAAGCTTGTGTAAATGGTTAGCAGAATGAAGATTAGGAGGGATAGCAAGAAGATTAGGAGGGATAGCAAGAAGACAAATTTTAGCTACAAATGAAGGAAGATATGGAGAGCCATGAATGCCCATGGACACAGCATATAGAACTAGAATAATATCTGTATTTCATTATAAAATTAACTGCCAGCCTTTCAATTTACAAATCAGTTGCAATGATTAAAAATATTTTAGAATATTAAAAAAAATAAGATGCGTGATTAAATTCTTTTAGAGTATTTTTACAGGGGTAGAAAATTTTATTATAGCGATAAAAACAGACATATTAAATAACAAAAATATAACAATATTAACATAACAAAAAAGGTGGGTAATACAAAATATATATTACCATAAATTGGTAATACTGAAATCGGTAATACTGAAATATAATTAAAAACTCATCAGAGTAAATACTGAAGACAAAAAAATGTGCACAGTGACTAAAAAAATGTCCAACACCTGACTAATGTTATATACAAAAAAAAATATAACATTAAAGGCTATTGACCTTTAATCCCACCAACCAGTCCTGTTTACAGAGAGATGGTTCGTAGGACAATGTATACTGATTCCAAAACCTTCAAGTGGTATTAGCCTTACTCAGTACTGAGAACATGTCCAAGCCATAAGACTGAGCACACTGCTGGTTTTAATCAGATGTTCAGCTATCACTGAACTTGATACATTAACATACTTATGTAAATTGTCCATTTCCCTTGACTGAATATTAGCTGGTACGTGTTGTCTGATCCGTGCCTCTAGTCTTTTATCCATTCTGCCTACATAGTCAGTCACACGAACATGTGAATTTATAAATTTCAGAACTATTACGATGAGTAAGCAGACATCCTTCTGGATTAGTCTTAGTGTAGGCAGAGCACAAATAACTATACATGGATCAGCAGTAAAATAACAACTTCTTACACTAAATAAAATTTGCTTATCATATGACTTAATCTCATATGACCATTATATAAGAGTTGATGTACTGTTGAGGTAGCAGATATATTCCTGTGAAGCAAAATAAATCGAATAATAAAGAGCAAGTCAGTGACAAACACATTTTGCTCTTTGGGGCTGTATACACTTGTCTCTCATAGGAAATTATTATTTCTAATATTCCTTATAACAATACAACATAAATTCTCTATTGAATATAATGGAAACGGAGACGATGCAAGATTACTGTACTGGTTGGTGAACAAAATCTGAAATATCTTAATATCTGTGTCAATTTTTTGGCATTCATTGATATATTAGCACCAGACAGTGTATTAAATGTGATTGGACATAAAAGAGAACTCAGAATAAGTGGTAGGTTTGCTTTTCTGTTCCGCAAAAACAAGATTAGAATTGCCAATATAATCATGAGTCTGTCTTCTGCAGTTCTGGGCAGCAATTTGCAAAGGGCTACAACTATTGGCCAATGCTTGTCTACATTCAGTGAGCAAGTAAGACAAGGACAAAATGAAATTTAATTCAAACAAATTAATTTCCAGCTGTTCTTCATCCATGCAAGATGTTTCTTATATAGTGAACACTGCCGCACAAAATTTAATGTTTTTCATTTTTATGATTGTACGCAATATATCTGTGTGTGTGATATATTCACTTTGTCTTACTATAATTGAATTACTGTGGAAAATAGAGCAATGCTGTTTTCTGTCATATTTTTATCAAATACATTTTGGTAATATATATATATATATATATATATATATATATATATATATATATATATAATATATATAATGTATATATATATATATATATATATATATATATATATATATATATATATACACACACACAC